AATTTAAATTATTTTAAATGATAAAATAAAAATTTATTTGAAAACAATTCAATAATAAGGGTTTTCTCTTATTTAAAGATTATTATTTTATAATTTAAAATTTAAAATATTTTTTTTATATTTATTAAATAATCAATATTTTTCAAAAAAAAATTAAAACGTTTGGTTTTGGAATTTTGTGGAACTGCTGACTTGGAAATTCCAAGTAAGTGATTTTGCTTACTTGGACTGGAGTGGGTCCCACAAGTTGTGTTGCGCTCTGTGTTCACGAAGAAAGAAGGAAAGGAAGAAAGAAAGAAAGCAAACCCTTTTCACGACGCCGTCTAATTGAAAGAATTCCAGTGATTCGCGATCATCGTCGAGTTCGTGAACCTCGTCGCCATGGCTCTCACACTTCATGATGGTGGCGGTGGTGGCGGCAAACGGTATCAAAAAGTGCAGACCCACTTATTGCCGATGACAGGCGGGTTCTTGTTCCTGATCTCGTTGCTGGGGCTGACGCTACATTGCGCAGAAACAATTTCGTGGTTCCCATCTATTGGACCCCGATGTTCTTCCTCATCGTGGGACTCATCATCTTCATGGACTTTACCACATTCGTTATTCTGGTTACAAAGGATGCCGCTAGAAAGGAGTTTTCCACAAAAGGGTGTTCGTAGCACAGGACCGTTGATTACACCAGTTAGTTGAAGAACCATTTTGGCAATGGGAAGAAGAAGAATCTATTTTGGAGTTTGCTTGATGGACACCCATATCTGTTACCGCGATACAGGTATTTGTTTAAAAAAAAGGTTATATTTTTTCGTCATGTGAAATTTGGTTTGATTCTTTGATGAAATAACTGACATTTAAAGTGCCTGGAGGTTGAGAGTATAGGAACTAAAGTAATTAAAGTTACAGGGTTTAGGGACTGATAGTGCCATTATCTCTTTTGTTAATTGTGATAAGCTGTGATTTTGCTCAAATGCTTTTTCTTCTTTCTTTTTGGTATATGGGTTATACAACAGGGATCCCCTTCCCAAACCCCTCCTCAGGATTTGAACTTGAGATCTCCAACATGGAGACTCAAGTTTTTAACCATTGGGACATCCCTAGGGGACATTTGAACTAGGCATTTAGAGTTAGAGTTGGAAAACTTCACACTGAGATATCATTTTAGGAGCTAACTGTCAATGAGTCAGAGTCTACTAAGCTTTGATGGTTTAGACTTTAGAAGCTCATAAAGTTCCTTTTAATTGTTCGTTTGATGGCATTTCAGACTACAAATCAAGAACATCAACCATTCCATATATTTTATTCAGATTGCAAAATAAAGGTTCCTTTAATCTTTTCTGCTAGGGAAGAAAGGTATGGAATCAAGGGTTTTAATTTTAAAAGATGGTGATGCTTGTGTTTGGTTTTGTGCATATTTTTTAGACTTCATATTTATATTGAAAAATAAATTATAAAAATCAATATTTTATCAAGGAAAGCTGTTATTGGAAGCTGATATTTTTGCTGAGGAAAAGATTTTTTGATTTATGGTAAATAAGGCATGTGGAACCTAGATGATGATATGGCTGCCGAGTGGCATAATCCTACTTGGCAGCCATATCATCATATTGGTCCCACTTACCTTATGTACCATATATCATTTTTGGTGTCATGTGAACAATAAGGCATGGCATCGTTAAGGTGGAAAAGCTGTAGAAATAAGATGATAAAGCATACTGTTGTTGATTATTAGGCTGTTAATTTAATTCTTAAGAACAAGGGAAAGATGTTTAAATCAAGAAACAGATTCTTGTAGCTTTAATTGTTGTTTGATTTTCTAAGTAAGAAGCATGGAAAGGGTTGTTTGTTCTGTTACTGATTTACTCCTTTTAAAAGATTTAAATGTAATTTTTCTACATGAACTCAATTAGAAGAAGAGAAAAGTAAAACAACGTGGGATGATGTCCACAAAAAAATAGAAAAAGAAAAAGAACAAAAAGAGAATAAGAGATAAAGAGGATGGTTTGCCTAAGAACGAAAAAGGGAAATGTATTGGTTTCAAGAATTGTGACTGATAGGATAAGAGATTAGACACTGAAATTTGGATTGAATGGATTAAAAAAAAAGAGAATTCCACCTCTCATTTTGTATCATGTTATGTCTATTAATTATTGAGAACTGATTTGGGGGTTGAAAGTTAGACGCTTAAATTTTTTTGGCCATTGATCATGTGTGGGCCCCACATGATAAATTGCCAAGGTAATTTGTGCCTACAATTCGGCCTCCAACTACCTAACTTTTGTAATGACAAGAAATTAACTGCTTGGATTTGTTTTATTGACTAGCCATAAAAGTTTAACCTAGAATGGAAAATAATCTCCAATTCCTATCAAAGTCAATGCTATGCCTTATTTTGCTCTCATATTTGGAAACTCTACTAATATGGTAGAAATTCCCTGTTGGCTACAGAGAATATTGCATAAAAGGGAACCTAGTCAGCTCTTGCTTAAACATAGTGGCGGGCGATATGCAATGTACTTATAGATTATAATAGGTAGTATGTCTCTTAGGAACCACATTGGAGGTCTCAAATTCGAATCCTTGGGTGGGTGGAGAGGATTTGAGAAGGGAAGCACTATCCCTATTGTATCACCTGTCATGGTTATTAAATCAATTTTCTCTAGCCAAGGAACTATTCAACAAACTCTTCTTGAGAATGAACTATTTGAGGAACTACTTAAGGGACTCTTCTAAAGAAATGTACTTAATGAACTTTTCTTAACGAAAAACTACTAACAAACTCACTCTAAAGATTAACTAGTTGGCTAAACTTTTCATGATGGAAAACTACTTAACGGTTAACAAATTCCTGTAAATGAAAATCTACTAATGAATCTTTCTTAATGAAAAACTACAACCCTAAATGGATATCAAAAAACTAACCTTCTCTTTCCACGACCCTATTCCAAATCCTAAGTTTCAATGATCCCCCTCCCATTTTAAGCATTTTTCTTGTAAATAAACTATATGATTTCTAACTAAAACAGGGTGTTCCTTAAATCAACTCATACTTCACTGAAATTTAATCAAAATTGAAATGAACTATGGAGCCTTCTTTTGCCTATAATGAACAAAAGAAGATAGGCAAAAAAAAAGGGAGAGAAGTTTCCATCTAAGGAAGAAGAAAGAAAGCCAAGTGCACTCCATACAGCTCATTTCTCTCATGCATCCCCTATCAACATCTCTGCCAAGCACACACTGTCCTCCCTCCCTATAAATTCACCCATTTGGCCCTCTTTACCTCAAACTCTTGCACCTTGCAAACAACGCTGCCTTTGGCTCTTCCTGCTAGGTTCAGAATAATCTTTAACAGAAGCCTTCAAGCTTCTTTCTTATTCCAGTGCCTTTTCCTTCCAAGAGTGAAAAAGTTAAAATTTCAAAGAGGGCAATTGGTGATGATGGGGTGAGTTCTTTTTTGAATCTATAAGCAATACATTTCAAATGATCCAAAAAGCAACACAAGCTCATGCCTTTTCTGATCTCTACCCATCATGAGCCATGACTAATTGTTTTCCATGTTTGTGTTTGTCCTTTTGCTTTTAGCATTTCTTTCAATGCTATTGAGAATGGTTGAAGTTGGTGAAGTGAATCATTAACTTGTTATTGAGAATGGTTGGGCTCTGTAGTTGTTTGCCATTTGATAGTTGGATTTTCCTTTGGCATGTTCTTAGAATGAAAATCTGTTTTCAGTTCTGCATGAGTCAGCCTTTTGCCTGAAAATTCTATTATCTTTTACTTGGTATATCGAGGTGTTTCTAGAAAGTTATTGAAGTCATTAGCAGTGTGTTTGATGGAGGATTGCTAGATAGAATAAAATTTGCATATTTGGTTATTTAAAGTATTTTTTTTCTCATTCATGGGTAATGCAAAAATTTCTGTTGACAGGAAGAAAAAATAAATTTAAAATTTTTTAATGAAAAGTAACAAAAGAAACCCATATTCACTCAAAAAGAGGTGGGTCAAGAGATCTTAATTAGATGACACATACCTGACCATTTGGCTTGACTTGGCTTACATTGAGTTTAAATTATAATATAGTTTTGTAGGTATTGTATTATCAATTTTTTTTTTCTAACCTCATATTTTGAGTTTGGCTGGGGTTGGGGGTCTAGTTGATAAGTTTGTTGAGAAGGCAAAGCCCTTCCTGATGGCATATAAAGGAATTCAAAGTCAAGAAGAATGGGAGGTATATGCCGCTGCTTTTGAAATATGGTTAATAGATTTTATCATCGAAGTCGATTTTTTTGTATTCCTACCATTTTGAACAGTGTTTGGTGTGTCTTTTCTTGAATATCCATCTTTTGCTGCAAATATGCAAGAGTTTAAATGCTCCAGTTATGCTAGTTATTCCGGCAAAGATAAGAAAAAGAAAAAGAAAAAGAAAACTGCGGGCTTCATGTATCTTGTGAGACAGATCTCTTGTACTGCTGGCTAATGCACAGGGTAGAAGAAATTAATTATATAAAAAACAAAAAATAAATAAAATAAAAAAACCAATGGGAAAAGCTGTATCAAAAACTTGCAAAGATATGCACAGAATGCTATTGAAATAATTGAAATATTATAAGTTGTGTAAAATTAGGAAGATTATTTTATTTTATTAAAATCTCAATTTTTGTTAGCTGAATTAATGGCATGATTCTTCTATTGTGCCCTTTCTACTTATGAAATCTTGCCTCATACTGGTGAGACTTCTCAGTGTGGCTGTCAGCACTTTATTTAATTACATGATACAATAGAGATCCTATTAACAA